TGTTACATAACACTTGTAATGTAGCTGGGAGTTTCCTGGGAGTCAAACCTGGGACTCTTGTAACCCGTCTTTACCAGTAAAAGGAAAACAGGACGGTTTAAGTATCATCAGTGTGTTGACCTGGTATGAAGAAAACAAGCAGAACAAGGGGGAACACCTCCCCCCCGGGGCCTTTATTTAACGACTGCGAGGATTCATTTGTCCTGTTAGAAGAGACAGTTGAAAGTTCCCAAGGCCGTAAAAGCCGAGACCCACCCAGTGGACGAAAGCCCCCCCCCCCCATGTCATTGTATGAGCTGATTAGATCAGGTTTATTTAGATGCAACACTGATAGTTAGGTCTTCACTCTGCAGGGCATGTGTTTCTATCACATTCAACCCTGCTGGTTACAGCCACTGTTGTACTGTCGCGATCAAACATCTACTCACTGTACGTTTGTCGCAGCAGGTTTTCATAGAATTGGACAAAACAACCAGTATTTGATCATAATTCCACCTAAATTTCTGGCAGTAGAAAAAAACCACACTGGTTTTTGAAGAGGTTGTTTTAGTTCAACTGAAACTCTGAAGTTTCCTGTTTCGTATCTTCGTGGCCACAGCAAAGGCAGCATCCTCACAGCTGCGGGGTTAGAACCGAAAACATCTTTGTTTTTTATCTCAATCAGCAGGTTACCATGCTGATTCACTTTTGTAAGAAACGAAAGGAAAATTTAGTGAATCGGCTTCAATTTGTCCACAACAGTCACATGATCAGTTATAGAAACTATGTTGAAGATACAGAGTCTAAGAAGAATTGAAATACACTTAAAAAAAACCATAATCAGGATAAAGATAAGACTAAAAGGAAAAGGACACAATTACACTTCATTTTGTGGTTTTAACCAGTATTTCCTTGGTACTATATATTGTCAAACCCGGGTCCGAGTGATATTCAAATGATCACCAGTCATTAGAACAGTTTCGTGGTAGGGGGTTGTTGTGTTTATTTAAAGTGGTAAAACTTGTCTCTAAAGGGTGAAAGACAGATGTTTGTACTGCAACCAGGTACCGTTGTTTACAAACTGATTCCATTCGTGTACTGATACTGATACTTTTTATAAAGTTGGATTTGTAAAACTGTGCAGTGAATTGGAGGACAAATGGAAATGAGAATATCAACTAGTAAAATATTTGATTTTCTTCACATTAACAGAAGAATCTTTCTGTATTTAATAGAACAAATCTCTAAACTCAATCTTTTGTCACATTAGGCAACATATCAATAAAACTGAGGATACAAATAATATATAAAAAAAATTCTGTATCAGTAGGAAGCCACGTGGACAGAAAGTGAGTGGAGCTTTTAAAGAACAAATACAATATATGACTATCTCACACCAAAAAGGACAATATTTATTTTGTGTTATTAATGCTTAGTGGTGAGATATGCTATAATAAAGACATGCTTTATAACAGGGGGGCAGAGGGATCTAAACCAGTAGGAAACCAGACCTGGTCTGCAGCTCATGCTCAGATTAGGACCAGGTCTGTGAGTCTAATATGTCGCTGTTGTCACCGATGCTTGGCTGTGAATAAACCTCACTACAGCTCTCAGGTTGCTTCACTCAGCAGTGTTATTAAGAGGGACTGTTGGATCTGCAGAGACAGCAGACGCTCCAGAAGTGACTCCAGAGTATAAGAGAGAGAGAGAGACACCTTCACATGTCGAACTGTTCAGCTCTGCGGCTGGAGTGGATGAAAAGATCAAACAGGACTTAAGTCAAGAGTAACGAAGGCGACAGGTCAACGGTGCATAATAGTAAACAACAGTAGGTGCATAATGTGGCACATGTGACGTTTTTCTCATGTGATGGAAATGGGTGGGTGGGTGGTTGGGGTGGTGGGGGTCTGGGTGGGCACAATTGTTTTCACAATTGTGCAAATGCTAAGCTAAAAGGCCGAACTAATTCAGGCACCTGAGTAACCTCTGGTCTTCTTTAGTAAAAAGTCTGAGCACCAGCTGTGATGACTCAGGGTGGGATAGAGTGGAAGGCAGGCGGGGGTGGGGGGGCAGTTTATGAATGACTCAGTCAGGAAAGAATGAGTCATCAGCACAAACACAAGCAAGGAATCAACACAATTCACCAGCCTGCTGCATCTGTATCTTTGTATCTTTCTCTGTCCATCATTCCAAACGATAACTGTATCATCAGACATACAATTGTTGATTCATGTGTATATTGTTGATTCATGTGTATATTTTGTTATTTTATTCCTGTGTATATTTTGTTATTTTCATTTCTTGATTTATTTGGCATTCAGTGTGGACAGCAACGTAAAATTTTCATTGTACAGGGAAACCTGCTGTCCTTACTGTACACGTGACAATAAACACTTTGAATCTTTGAATCTACAAATCTATACTCGATATCCATAACAAAACTACAATTGATAAACTCTCATCCCTGTCCTGAGCTGCAGCAGAGATTATTGCCCTCAGTCACCACAAGCAACAGAGGGCAGTCAGTGGAGCGTGTTGATGTTAAGAAGCCCCCTGATGGACACATAAAGGTTTGGACATTTGCTCAGAGTTAAAAACATTAACTTATGGTTCAGAGCCCCATATGGACATCCCCCAAAACTGAACTTTAATTCATACAAAACTGCTGGTATCACTGTAATGAAGGGAAATAAAATTCCCCAGTTCACCACATATACACAAAAATGTCTGCCTGCCTTGGTTTCCAGTCTGTGGACTCAGTTTAGATTCTGTACCCAAAAATATGTTTGTTATTTCAACACTGATAGCCTAGAGGGCACTCTTGGCTTGTATACCAGTATCTGCTACCCCTGTAAATCGCACTTTTTTTCATCCTTTGGTGGGTTTGCAACTTATACTCTGGAATGAATTATAGTCCGGTATTTGTTTTTTTTTGTTCTGAAGAACAAGTTATTTAATTTTCTGTCGGTTTTTCTGACCTATTTGGACCAGTGAGCATTTAGGTTGTTAGCGGTTGTGGTACATAAGGTCCACCCCAAAATTTAATTCATTCTTGTGTATGAGTAACTTATTAACCCACTCCATATGTAAAAAAACAATTCACATCACAAAGTTTATTTGTTTAAAAAACCATAACACCAGAGTCTCTTAAAAACATAATAGAGAAGTGATGAGAGACTGTTTCCAATAACAGTCAGCTCCAGCTGAAGCTTCAGTGATATTTAATAGGCATGTGCTGTAAAGCACTGACGTCAGACATTACACACGGCTCCATCGCTATGGTTTCACTTCCTGTAGATGTGGCAGGAGTGAGAAAAACAGCTTATCCGCAGGAGGAGCCACGTAAAGCTCTGACCTCCGACAACAAAGCTTCACCGTTGGACACGGGGTCCAGACGACGCTTGGCATTTCCACCAGCTCTGTAATTTGATTAAAACCCTATCCTGTTCTTCACTGTCCTCTCAGAACCACTCAGAAGTACCACGTCAGGATTCAAACCACTTCTTCCAGCCGGGCACTTGAGGCCAAAGCCTCATCCATCAGACGGTGTTTGCCTGCAGTTACGCCGTCTGTTTGAACATGATCACAGAGCACAGCACACAGGCGTGCTCACACATGCACGACAGAGTGCAGTGAACCATCTGTGGCAATCCAGTGATTTCACCAGAACACCGAGAAAATAAGCAGCTCCGGCTCCTGCCGAGACTGTCGTAAAGAGGAAGAGTGTTGCAGCGACCAGGTGGAACGTCACAGCTGGATGATGAAATCTTTGTACTCTATGTTCTCTGAGTTATGCAATGATTGGCCTATGTATTATAAACTCTGCAGCAATTTGTTGGGCAACAGAGGACAAAAGTTTTCACAGAATCATCTCAAGCTCAAAATACCATATCAACTCCCAGCATGCATGTGTGGGGACAGTCTGACCACTGACAGGCTGACTATCAGGGACTGTATACTGATTAATATTGTTTAGGACAACAACTTCAATGAGATTTCGGAAGAAACTCTTGATGTTTTCTTCAAGTCAAGATGAACAGGAAAGAGTTAATCCATCAACTATG